GGACGAGGAGAAGACATGGAAGGGCAGTTTTGCAAAGAGGAAGCTGACAGTCGAATGGTACTACATATTCTTCATGCACTGAGGATAGGTCATGCAAATGTTTTGGTGAGGACCTGCGATTCTGATGTAGTTATTATTCTACTTTATCATTCCCCACTCTTTGAAGCTACATCTGTCACCAGCTGTGAAGTCTACGTTAGTTATGGTACGGGAAAGCATCGGCGCATTTTGAGCATCAGGGCAGTTGTAGAAGCCCTTGGTAAAAGATTTTGCAGTGCCCTTCCTCTTGTTCATGCAGTAACCGGGTGTGATTCAACCTCTGCTTTTAAAGGTCGATCAAAAAGGATGTGCTTTACTGCCCTGAGAAAGTGTTCTCATGAGGTGATCGAAGCAATGGGTTCTTTCCAGCCTTTTATGGAACTCAAAATGGAAAGTCAGCTGTTCACCTCTCTTGAGCATTACATTGTTAAAGTCTATGGAGGAGACACACAAACTAAATCAGTAAACCAGTTAAGGAAGCAGATGTTCTGCCAGCGCTACCAGAATGTAGAAATGATTCCTCCAACTCAAAATGCTCTGTATCACCATTGTCAAAGAGCTCTCTACCAGAGCAGTATCTGGATATCTGCCCATGACTCACAAGTTCGTGAACCAGACCCTTGCTTGTATGGATGGAAGGAAACTGATGGGAAGTTACTTCCTCGGTGGATGTCTGTCCCACAGGTTGCATCAGTCTGCCAGGAACTAGTAAAATGTGGCTGTAAGAGACCATGTAGCCGAGCCTGCAGTTGCTTTAAGAAGGGCCTACCCTGCACAGCCCTATGTAAATGTCTGTGCAGCAGTTTGTAAATAGAAGGAAACTTTTATTTTTACACAAAATAATGAGATAACTTTACTCATGTATTTCAATCTGTGATTCGAGGCATTTTTCATGACATAAAATTATAATTTAATTTTAATAAGCAGTCTTTTTCATTTAAATTGATAAGTGATTATCATTTTCATTAGTTATATGTAAAATTGACAGCTTTGTTTTATGTAGGGTAGTACAATCATGTAATACGTGAAAGTGATGCATTAGGAGAAATATAAAATTCATATACTATTTACTAGATGAAAACTGTATATAGAGATTACGTAAACAAAACACATTATGCATGTCTAGAAACGGTACGCTTATTATACCTTTGAGCTAATGATGGATTAAGACACAGTATTTACATGAACTGCACATTATTCTGAAACTTAAATTGTGAATGTTAAATAAGTGTATAAAAAATATGGCCTGTATTTTTCATATGCATTTTACTTTCTCACGTATGTACCTTTGTATATCTGTACCTAAAAAGATAAATCACGGCAATGTTCCAGAAAAATTTATGTTGTGTGATAAGTTATACATATACTATGCCAAAACAAAAAAGTTAACCCTAACTAATGGGTCTCAGGACTATCTGTGAGTGAGGTCATGAAATGTTACCCATACATAATTCACTTTTATTTTCTTATTTATCAACATAGAACTTTCGTTTTGGTATCATTTTATAGGTAATTCAATGGTGCATAACTTTTATTTAGAAAACATTTTCAGTATTCAAGTCTATATACATGTTTCTGGAAGGATTATACCAATGATCATATTTATTACCGACCATTTTCTTGCATAAATGACTTATACTGTTTTTTGGCTAAACTTAATCGACAAAATAATGGTATATTCGGATTCGTCATGCAATAGAACATAAGAAACGGTATATCATTCACGAATTAATGTTACCTGCTAGGAGAAATAAATGCGATATGTAAGAGATGTATTTTCGTATACCCCGAAACCCCTGCCCCCCCCCCCCCTTGGGACCCTAAGGGACATTTTTTTCTGCCCCCCTTCCAGATCACTTATTTATGACCCAAGGGATCAGGAAAACACCATGGGCAAACTTTAACACGTCACCTGAATCACCGTCTTTGTTTACTCTATGCATTCATGCCTACTATACTAGATGAAAACTGTATATAGAGATTACGTAAACAAAACACATTATGCATGTCTAGAAACGGTACGCTTATTATACCTTTGAGCTAATGATGGATTAAGACACAGTATTTACATGAACTGCACATTATTCTGAAACTTAAATTGTGAATGTTAAATAAGTGTATAAAAAATATGGCCTGTATTTTTCATATGCATTTTACTTTCTCACGTATGTACCTTTGTATATCTGTACCTAAAAAGATAAATCACGGCAATGTTCCAGAAAAATTTATGTTGTGTGATAAGTTATACATATACTATGCCAAAACAAAAAAGTTAACCCTAACTAATGGGTCTCAGGACTATCTGTGAGTGAGGTCATGAAATGTTACCCATACATAATTCACTTTTATTTTCTTATTTATCAACATAGAACTTTCGTTTTGGTATCATTTTATAGGTAATTCAATGGTGCATAACTTTTATTTAGAAAACATTTTCAGTATTCAAGTCTATATACATGTTTCTGGAAGGATTATACCAATGATCATATTTATTACCGACCATTTTCTTGCATAAATGACTTATACTGTTTTTTGGCTAAACTTAATCGACAAAATAATGGTATATTCGGATTCGTCATGCAATAGAACATAAGAAACGGTATATCATTCACGAATTAATGTTACCTGCTAGGAGAAATAAATGCGATATGTAAGAGATGTATTTTCGTATACCCCGAAACCCCTGCCCCCCCCCCTTGGGACCCTAAGGGACATTTTTTTCTGCCCCCCTTCCAGATCACTTATTTATGACCCAAGGGATCAGGAAAACACCATGGGCAAACTTTAACATGTCACCTGAATCACCGTCTCTATTAGTCATGCCCACTAACAGATGTGATTATGAAGATGTTAAATTTGCCATATTGCAGAGTTACCAGTTAACAGCAACACATTGCAGGACAAAAGGAAATAGGTCAAGCTTTTGTAGAATATAAGCATTTGATTCCTTTTTCTTCTCTTTGTGAGACACTCTTACTATAAAAAGTTAAGAAATGATTTGCACAGAATATTCAATTATATCTCACCGAGGAAGAAGAAACAGACCTAAGCACAGCAATTGAATTGACAAAAAATAAAATCCTCCGTGTCTATTGGTGTCTGTCGAACAAACCTACGTGACCTAAGTCAGTTTCTATAATGGTGAATTCAAGTGATGGCCCAAGGTAGCGACTGAAAAAAAGGATGTATGGTTGTTTCACGATTCGTTTAGATCTTTCAGAATTTAAGGTTAGGCAGCTCAGCACAGTGGATGTATTACTTACTGGAGAAACGTGCGGGATGCTGTCCATATAAAAAGCTCTAGCAGAGATAGCAGATTGTTTCACAGGTGATTATGTTAAATAAATGTTAATGGGGTGTCCATAGACCACTGTAACTCTAGACTGCTTACGTACTTTATTCTCAAATTAACTGTAATTCTTTGGTAATAATTGAAACTGGTATTTTTTCTTTTAAAAGTTGTGGTGCTCTAAACTGTTTCCAGGGTACGAACAGAAAAGGAATTGAATGAAACCGGTGGATGTGCCCCATGCAAGCTCTTCCTGATGCTGACAGGCCAATTATACAGAGGAGGTGGGTTACTATCCTGAGCCGCTACAACACAGGATGAAACACCAAACAGGGTGGTGTATGTGTGTGTGTGAGCTACATTTTCTGCCGGAGGATTTCTCATGAGACCTTCAGGAAAACAGAGCGGCAGGGACAGATTTCGAAAGGTGATGCTGTTCCTTCTGTCTGCAACTGCTAGCCGGTGTTTGTATAGTTTTGGCAGTTAGCCTTTTCTTTCCAGTGTCTCCGCTCTGCTGTTTGCCACCTATTATCACTTTTTATTCAATGCTATGAACAATACTGTGACTGTTTTACTGTTTTTCCGTTCTTTCATTATTTTATTTAATTCCTCCTCTATAATGTTACTGACAATCTAATAAGATCAGATTGTAAATTGAATATGTGTGCAGGTATTCTTTCCATAATGTAAATGAAATCTAGTTGGATTGCAGTTGTACTACTTCGAGAAAGTGCAGAAAAATGAACTGAAACGCTATCGACCCTAGAGTATGTTTTGACGTACAGCCTGCTTTGGTTTAATGTCAGCCCTTAAACCAACTTTCAGATTTGTAATTAATTCAGTGTATTTCTCAGTACTGCCAAGCCTAAGCAGATCGTTAAGCAACCCACACCGATTGAATTTTCGTCAGCCTGACGTCAGGGACCATTACTACCTGTATTGCAAAGCGAGATAGCTAGAAAGATAAATAGAAAGTATGCCAATATGTTACACGCTAATTACTATGCATGTATGTGTACTTGACAAATAAATTTGCAGTGCACATGATACATATATGTATACAACAAATATATATTTTATATGAACAAACATATACATATGCACACTATACACACACACACACATATATATATATATATATATATATATATATATATATATATATATATATATATATACATGCATGTCCATCTATCCACCTATATATATATATATATATATATATATATATATATATATATATATATATATATATATACATATATACACACACACACGCGCATATCTATCTATCCACCTATATATATATATTTATATATATTTGTATATATCTGCATACATACATGCATATCTCTCTACATATATATATGTATATATATACATATATGTAAATGGAGGTATCTTGTGGATTATATAAAACCCTACACTATATACAATTAAACTTGAACACCTGTAGCGCATCGATTTCTCTCTTATGGCCGCGAATAGGTCAAAGTGATTCCAGCTTGTGAATGACCACACCTGTGGCGAGAGGAAGGGACATGGATACTCAGGGGTATATAACCATACCTGCAGAGGGTTGCAGCCAGAGTCCTCGAGCGATCCGGGCTGCGAAGTAGTCCTCCTCCTCGATTCGAACACTCGCTCAGGTCCTCCTCGACGATCTCTCGCCATGAGGGTCTTCTCCGTTGGGTTGGTGACGGCGACGCTGCTGGTGAGTGCCGACCTTTGTCTTACCTTCCCCTACTTCCACTCTTGGCATATTTATTACATAACCATGCATGTGTAAATAGTGTGATTGTACACGGTTGTGCAAAACTTATGCATCTACATGGTTCTCATTGCTTTGCAGTGCGCTTGGAGCGATGCCAGTGCGAGGATAGCACCAAAGAGCAGGTGGGTGTGAGGCTGGGGCACTGTGCCCTTGGAATGAGGATTTGAAAAGCTTCAGCACACCAGCTACTTGGTAAATTTGCTTGGCCACATCCTTAGAAACAATGTATAATTTTCCAGGTTTGTCGGCTTTCGTCAAGTGACACTGAACCCAGATCAGGCTCAAACCTACCCCAGCGGAGGTGTTGGTCCCCGTCAGGTGACACTGAACCCAGATCAGGCTCAAACCTACCCCAGCGGAGGTGTTGGTCCCCGTCAGGTGACACTGAACCCAGATCAGGCTCAAACCTACCCCAGCGGAGGTGTTGGTCCCCGTCGGGTGACACTGAACCCAGATCAGGCTCAAACCTACCCCAGCGGAGGTGTTGGTCCCCGTCAGGTAACGCTGAACCCAGATCAGGCTCAAACCTACCCCAGCGGAGGTGTTGGTCCCCGTCAGGTGACACTGAACCCAGATCAGGCTCAAACCTACCCCAGTGGTGGTGTTGGTCCCCGTCAGGTGACACTGAACCCAGATCAGGCTCAAACCTACCCCAGCGGAGGTGTTGGTCCCCGTCAGGTGACACTGAACCCAGATCAGGCACAAACCTACCCCAGTGGTGGTGTCGGTCCCCGTCAAGTGACACTGAACCCAGTTCAAGCTCAGACCTACTCCAGTGGTGTTGGCCCGCGCATGGAAGTGGCACCACAGTTTGAAAACAGAGGTATTTATTTTCTGTACACTTTTGTTTACCATCTCAAAGCAAATTTTCATATACATGTGTACATATGTAGGACACGCACATATATATTACACTTGTTCCAGCTGCAGTAGAATGCGGTTCTTACTACATAGCTCCAGGTGCTTCCAAGACAATCCAGTCAAAGAACTACCCCAGTAACTACCCTGGTGGCAAGAGGTGCAAATGGAAATTCCAAGTAAGTTCTTTCTAAAGTGAGACTTAAACATTTTTCTCTGTGTGCACATTTGTATATAGAGGAAATATAGTAACTCTGATTTATTAATCTATTTGACTTATTTTTTTTTCTCAGACTTCTGTCGACTCAAAGTTAAGCATCCAGTGTGACGATTTCAACCTACAAACGTCGAAAAAATGCAGGAAGGATTTCTTCCGAGTCACAGATTCTTCTGGCTTTAAACAAAAGTAAATACCATCATATGAATACATTATATTGTATCTTTATTAACGGCATATTCTGCAGAGGGAAAGCTGTATTATGCAGATTAACTAATTATCCGTACATTTTACAGATACTGCGGTGCCAAGGGTTCTCTGAGCATTTCTGATAAATCTAGGAAAGTTACTGTTTTGTTCAAAACAAACAGGAAGAAATCTAATACAGGATTTTCCTGCTCTGTCAGAGCTTCAGGTAAAATCAATATTTCCAGTAACTGAGGAACATAGAAGTCTTGAAATACAGAATCATGTGCACATTTTCCAATTCCACATAATGACTTCCTTATGCAATATCCTGTACAGTGCCAGACTCCCAAACAACAACTGTAGACCCTCAGCCAACTTCAGAGTGTAGTATGTATTCACCCTTTCTGTTTAGAAAAGAGATTATGTTAACTACCTTGCTGAAAGTGTTAAGAGTAAACTTAAATGTGGAAAATATCCATGTTTGGACTTTGATAATGAAAACAATGTTCCTATAAATTTGGCAAAGCTAAGAATTCACAAGATTCACAATCCAAAGTATAATATAAAACATCTTACCCGTAGCTGGATGTGGACAAGTGAACCGTGCCAACCGCATTGTTGGTGGAGTAGAGACGGAGGTGAACGAATATCCCTGGATGGTTTCTCTTTTCAACGGCAATGGATATTATCACTTCTGTGGCGGTTCTATCATCTCCAGCCAATGGGTCGTCACTGCAGCTCACTGTGCAGCTGTGTAAGTAGTTATCCATGAACAATCATTCATCTCTATCTCAAATGCATATTTTTTTTTCTAAATTTTCCTTTTATATTTGCAGCATGAGCACCTCGGATTACGTGTTGGTGGGAGACCACAATCTGTACTCATCAAGTGATGCCAATTCTCAGTGGATGCAGATTGCTGAAGTAAGTGGAACGTCCTCACTTCATCATAGAACATTGTAAGAAAGTGAATTTATTTGTAAATAATTTTCTGGAACTATATATACAAAAGGAACAAACTACCAGACAAGTGAAATAGATAAGTAATATGCATCCTTTCGAACAGATTGTGAGCCATCCGTCCTATGATTCGAATACACTGGACAACGACATTGCCCTCATCAGACTCACCACAGAAATACAGTTCCCATCTGACAATAAAATCGCCCCTGTGTGCCTTCCAACAGCTGGTGAAATGTATGATAATGTGGATGCCACAATCACAGGATGGGGAGCCCAACAGGAGGGTAAGTATTGATATTTGCAATAAGTTCTTATTTCCATTTGGTTTTGTTATCACACACACACACACACACAAACACACACACAAAAAAAAATGCATTGATTCATTCAATTCATTCAACAGGAGGATCCACATCCGGCACCTTGTTCGAGGTAACAGTGCCCACCATGACAAACACCGAATGCAATAACAAGTATGGTGGAAGCATTACTGACAACATGATCTGCGCAGGCATTCCTGAGGGAGGCAAGGACTCCTGTCAGGTATGTTTATTCTTCATTTCCTTAAGATATTAATACTACTTTTTTATCTGCATGTATGGTGTTCCTTTCGATATATTTTATACATTATATGTGAATGTTACAGGGAGACTCTGGAGGACCAATGGTGGTGGAAGAAAACGGCAAGTGGAAGCTGGTGGGAGTTGTGTCGTGGGGATATGGCTGTGCTCGACCTGAAAGGCCTGGAGTCTACGCCAGAGTTACACGTAAGTAAATTGTTAGCTGTTGAATCAACTTCTGCTGTCCAATAACCTCCCTCATAAAACATGTAACTAGGTATATCAAAGATCCTACACGTGATGAATAATACACGACTCAAGCTTTCCAGGAAGGATACTACCACTCAAGTTTCCCCTATAAAGAATAACGTAACTTGTTGGCTGTCTATGCCTGACATCAATGTCATTTCTCTTACAACATGAGTTATCTAGTACCATAGAAGCAGAAAGTCAATCATAATTATTCACAAAATATTGTGTACAGGGGATAAACTGTGCCTTCAAATTTTAACAAAGTCCATGCTTGGTCAAGAGTCGAAAAAGCCTTCCCATGATTGCTTAATATTTGAGATCAAGTAAGCATGCCTACCACCAGATGGCTCTTGTGCCTATCTTTGATGAGCGCAGCGAAGGTGGAATCGCTCTATTAAAGGATCTTTGATGAATAAAAGTACTGTTTATATTTTTTGTCAGTCCTATAATTAGTCCACACCATATATGGAGTGAAAATTTGTGTTCTTGCCAGTAATATTTTAATAAGTGTGTCATCATTCCTTGTATCTAAAATCAAAATATGATAACTTTCTTCATCAGAATATTTGCAATGGATTTCTGATTCTACAACCGGTGTCTGTGTCGATGGGAACACACCTGCCCCGACGCCTGCTCCTACTCCTGCACCCACGCCTGCTCCTACTTCTGCTCCCAATTCTGACTGTCGTATGTAAAGATAAGAAAATCTGTATTGATCTATTAAATACCATACTGCTAAAAAAAAAAAAAAAAAAAAAAAAAATCAATCAATCAATCAAAATATCAACTCAAAGGCATTCCTTACAGATGTAACCCATCAGGCACTGAGAAATTTGACAGACAGACAATTATTGAAGTGTCTTATCTTCTACAAAACTGGTTTTGCGCGTTTCTTGTTATAAAGACAATCACGTGTATATCCACAGCTGGCTGTGGACAAGTGAACCGTGCCAACCGCATTGTTGGTGGAATAGAGACGGAGGTGAACGAATATCCCTGGATGGTTTCTCTTGTCAACGGAAATGGATACTATCACTTCTGTGGCGGTTCTATCATCTCCAGCCAATGGGTCGTCACTGCAGCTCACTGTGCAGCTGTGTAAGTAGCTTATCATGAACAATGAATCAGTCTTCTAATCTTACATATGAATCTTTTTATTCTAATTTTTCTTATTAAATTTTACAGCATGAGCACCTCGGATTATGTGTTGGTAGGAGACCACAACCTGTACTCATCAAGTGATGCCAATTCTCAGTGGATGCAGATTGCTGAGGTAAGTGGAATGTTCTGACTCCATCACAGAGCAATTTAAGAAAGTGAATCGATTTGTAAATATTTTTCTAGTCAAGTGAAATAGATAATTGCAATATGCATCCTTTCGAACAGATTGTGAGTCATCCGTCCTATGATTCTAATACACTGGACAACGACATTGCCCTCATCAGACTCACCACAGAAATACAGTTCCCATCTGACAACAAAATCGCCCCTGTGTGCCTTCCAACTGCTGGTGAAATGTATGATAATGTGGATGCCACAATCACAGGATGGGGAGCCCAACAGGAGGGTAAGTATTGATATTTGCAATAAGTTCTTATTTCCATTTGGTTTTGTTATCACACACACAAACACACACACACACACAAAAAAACCACCTGCATTGACTCATTCAATTCATTCAACAGGAGGATCCACATCCGGCACCTTGTTCGAGGTAACAGTGCCCACCATGACAAACACCGAATGCAATAACAAGTATGGTGGAAGCATCACTGACAACATGATCTGCGCCGGCATTCCTGAGGGAGGCAAGGACTCTTGTCAGGTATGTTTATTCTTCATTTCCTTAAGATATTAATACTACTTTTTTATCTGCATGTATGGTGTTCCTTTCGATATATTTTATACATTATATGTGAATGTTACAGGGAGACTCTGGAGGACCAATGGTGGTGGAAGAAAACGGCAAGTGGAAGCTGGTGGGAGTTGTGTCATGGGGATATGGCTGTGCTCGACCTGAAAGGCCTGGAGTCTACGCCAGAGTTACACGTAAGTGAATTGTTGTTAGATGTTGAATCAACTTTTGCTGTGCAATAACCTCCCTCATAAAATATGTATCTAGGTATATCAAAGGTCCTACACATGATGAATAATACACGACTCAAGCTTTCCAGGAAGGATACAACCACTCAAGTTTCCCCTATAAAGAATAACGTAACTTGTTGGCTGTCTATGCCTGACATCAATGTCATTTCTCTTATAACATGAGTTATCTGGTACCATAGAAGCAGAAAGTCAATCATAATTATTCACAAAATATTGTGTACAGGGGATAAACTGTGCCTTCAAATTTTAATAAAGTCCATGCTTGGTCAAAAAAGCCTTCCCATGATTGCTTAGTATTTGAGATCAAGTAAGCATGCCTACCACCAGATGGCTCTTGTTTGATGAGCGCAGCGAAGGTGGAATCGCTCTATTAAAGGATCTTTGATGAATAAAAGTATTGTTTATATTTTTTGTCAGTCCTATAATTAGTCTACACCATATATGGAGTGAAAATTTGTGTTCTTGCCAGTAATATTTTAATAAATGTGTCATCATTCCTTGTATCTAAAATCAAATTATGATAACTTTCTTCATCAGAATATTTGCAATGGATTTCTGACTCTACAACCGGTGTCTGTGTCGATGGGAACACACCTGCCCCGACGCCTGCTCCTACTCCTGCACCCACGCCTGCTCCTACTTCTGCTCCCAATTCTGACTGCCGTATGTAAAGATAAGAAAATCTGTATTGATCTATTAAATACCATACCGCAAAAAAAAAGAAAAAAAAAGAAGAAAAAAAAAAAAAAGAATATCAACTCAAAGGCATTCCTTACAGATGTAACCCATCAGGCACTGAGAAATTTGATAGACAGACAATTTTTGAAGTGTCTTATCTTCTACAAAACTGATTTTGCGCGTTTCTTGTTATAAAGACAATCACGTGTATATCCACAGCTGGCTGTGGACAAGTGAACCGTGCCAACCGCATTGTTGGTGGAGTAGAGACGGAGGTGAACGAATATCCCTGGATGGTTTCTCTTGTCAACGGAAATGGATACTATCACTTCTGTGGCGGTTCTATCATCTCCAGCCAATGGGTCGTCACTGCAGCTCACTGTGCAGCTGTGTAAGTAGTTATCCATGAACAATCATTCATCTCTATCCCAAATGCATCTTTTTTTTCTAAATTTTCCTTTTATATTTGCAGCATGAGCACCTCGGATTACGTGTTGGTGGGAGACCACAATCTGTACTCATCAAGTGATGCCAATTCTCAGTGGATGCAGATTGCTGAGGTAAGTGGAATGTCCTCACTTCATCATAGAACACTGTGAGAAAGTGAATTTATTTGTAATTATTTTTCTGGAACTATATATACAAAAGTAACAAACTATCAGACAAGTGAAATAGATAAGTAATATGCATCCTTTCGAACAGATTGTGAGTCATCCGTCCTATGATTCTAATACACTGGACAACGACATTGCCCTCATCAGACTCACCGCAGAAATACAGTTCCCATCTGACAACAAAATCGCCCCTGTGTGCCTTCCAACAGCTGGTGAAATGTATGATAATGTGGATGCCACAATCACAGGATGGGGAGCCCAACAGGAGGGTAAGTATTGATATTTGCAATAAGTTCTTATTTCCATTTGGCTGTGTTATCACACACACAAACACACACACACACAAAAAAAACAAAAACAAAAAAAAAAAACACCTGCATTGACTCATTCAATTCATTCAACAGGAGGATCCACATCCGGCACCTTGTTCGAAGTAACAGTGCCCACCATGACAAACACCGAATGCAATAACAAGTATGGTGGAAGCATTACTGACAACATGATCTGCGCCGGCATTCCTGAGGGAGGCAAGGACTCCTGTCAGGTATGTTCGTTCTTCATTTGTTTAAGATCATAGATACTTATTTAATCTGCGTGCATGATATTCGTTTCGATATATTCTACACAATATATCTGAACAGGGAGACTCTGGAGGACCAATGGTGGTGGAAGAAAACGGCAAGTGGAAGCTGGTGGGAGTTGTGTCGTGGGGATATGGCTGTGCTCGACCTGAAAGGCCTGGAGTCTATGCCAGAGTTACACGTAAGTAAATTGTGGTTAGCTGTTGAATCAGTTCCGATGTTGTTTTTCTTACACCATGAGTGATAGTTATCTGGCACCATGCAAGCAGAAAGTCAGTCACAATTAGTCATGAAAAATCGATTTACAGGGATAGATTGTGCCTCCAAATTTCAACAAAGTCCGCTCTTGGTTAAAGGCTGATAAAGTTTTCCCATGATTGCTTAATATATGAGATCAAGTAAGCACACCTGTCACCAGATGGATCTTGTGTCCATGTATGGCGATTCAGTGAAGATGAATTCACTGTCAGAGGATGTTTGATGAATAAAAATCTTATAATTACTCTGTACACAATGTATAAAGAGATCGTGAGAAGTTGTGCTCTTGTTAGTAGTATTTTGATACCTTTTTTATCATTCCTTCTTTGTAGAGTTATGAAATAATAACAATTTTCCAACAGAATATCTTCAGTGGATTTCCGATTCTACAACTCGTGTCTGTGTCGATGGGAACACACCTGCTCCTACTCCTGCACCCACGCCTGCTCCTACTTCTGCTCCCGATTCTGACTGCAGTACGTTAAAAATCTGTATCAATCTGTAAAGTACCGAATAAAAATCAAATAAATATATATCTACATAAAGGCAGTCGTTACAAATGCTAATGACATATCTGTCTACCGCATTGATGAACTATCAGAAAACTTATGAGACACTTTTTGAAGTGTCCAGTACTCCATTTTCAATATGTCTTTATCTCTACGAAACTGGTTTTGCCTGTTTCTTTTTATATAGAAAATCACCTGTACATCCACAGCTGACTGTGGACAAGTGAACCGTGCCAACCGCATTGTTGGTGGAGTAGAGACAGAGGTGAACGAATATCCCTGGATGGTTTCTCTTGTCAATGGCAATGGATACTATCACTTCTGTGGCGGTTCTATCATCTCCAGCCAATGGGTCGTCACTGCAGCTCACTGTGCAGCTGTGTAAGTAGCCATTAATGAACAAATGAACAGTCTTCTTAACTGTTACATATGAACTTTTTAAAAATGCCCTGTTGTTTTTACAGCATGAGCACCTCGGATTATGTGTTGGTAGGAGACCACAACCTGTACTCATCAAGTGATGCCAATTCTCAGTGGATGCAGATTGCTGAAGTAAGTGGAATGTCCTCATTTCATAAAACATTGTAAAAAAGTGAAATGATTTTTAAACATATTTTTCTCTAGGTCTATATTTACATTAAACAACTACCAAACAAGTGAAATAAATAACTACATCTCCTTTCGAACAGATTGTGAGTCATCCGTCCTATGATTCGAATACATTAGACAACGACATTGCCCTCATCAAACTCACCACAGAAATACAGTTCCCATCTGACAACAAAATCGCCCCTGTGTGCCTTCCAACAGCTGGTGAAATGTATGCTAACGTGGATGCCACAATCACAGGATGGGGAGCTCAACAGGAGGGTTAGTATTGATTTCCGTTGTTTCTATTTTGTGAGAATAGAACAAAAATAAGGATTTACTTGCATATACACATTCAATGCATTTAACAGGAGGATCCACATCGGGCACCTTGTTCGAAGTAACAGTACCCACCATGACCAACACCGAATGCAATAGCAAGTACGGTGGAAGCATCACTGCCAATATGATCTGCGCAGGCATTTCTGAGGGAGGCAAGGACTCCTGCCAAGTATGTTCATTTTTCATTTCTTTAAGATATAAATACTATTTGTTTTGTCTATGCATAGTGTTCCTCTCGATATATTTTACATAATATATTTCAACATTACAGGGAGACTCTGGTGGACCAATGGTGGTGGAAGAAAACGGCAAGTGGAAGCTGGTGGGAGTTGTGTCGTGGGGATATGGCTGTGCTCGACCTGATAGGCCCGGAGTCTACGCCAGAGTTACACGTTAGTGTTCAGTAGTTACTTTTGGAACTGGCAAGCAGTTTTCAATAAGGCGCCAAAATCTTTAATATATGAATTCTTTATAAAAAGTATCACTTCTGATACTTTGTCTGTAATTATTAATCTTTCATGGTAAGTATAGTATTTTATAGGAAATGCTAACAAACGGTTTCCCTTCTTTCTCTTCAGAATACCTTGACTGGATTTCGACTTCGACCGGAGGTGTCTGCCCGACGGCTGGTTAATCCGTCCATCATAAAGGCTATCAGAAGCCTAAGCCAGGGCCAGGAGCAGGCTCTGGAATGCTTTCACTCCTCTCCTCCACATTTTCTTTCCTTTGGCCCAGTTTTTTCCTCTAACCTGATTCCTATCTCAGAATTTCCTAAAATATCCTTGAATGGCAATAAATTCGTGTTGATTCGCTATGTTTGTTTTCCTTATCTTCCACACCAGAAGCAACTATGTTAATCAACATTCGGATTTCAAATCAGTGGTCAGGTCTGGTATGGATCGGTGTTAGTCAGTGGTAAGTGGCGGCATTCAGTGGTGGTGCCTTCTCGTCGGGCTGTGCTCCTTTCCATCGGTGTCCGATAGGCAAAGCTGAGCCTCGCCCAGGCTATGTCCATGAGGAGAGCCCGGCCTATGTCGGCTAATGCCGACTCGCTAATGTGTGTCAGCTGATGCTAACTCGACTTTTACTACTGTGGCTGTATCCAGTCACAGTGGTAACCTCCAGGCAACAATTACAACTTCTCGCGCGTGGGTGAGGCGCGAACCGCCGATCCCTCGGATGA